ACATTTTTATTTTTCTAGAATAAGTCTGAATAATTAATAAAAAGGATAAGGATGCACTTTATATATAAAAGAAAGAAAATGTTACAAACAAAATTGACAAAAGACCTAATTGAGTCTAAGTCATGGTACTATGATTTCAATTCAAAATTTAGAAATTGGTTTCTAGTTTGATTGGAAACTCTTCCACTCTTGCATTACATATTGGTATATACATACATCATTTTTGTTGCATGTCAATTTTCACATATACTTGATAAATGTGGTCAAGAAAATGTAACTAAAGAAACTTGTAAGCAATTACAAGGAAGTGATAGACAGACAGGATTGAAAAACTCAAAAGTTATTTTTGATTTCTTTATAAAAGGCCCAACATCGGTTTTGTTACTTTTTGGAACAAACAATTTTTCACTAAATGTATTTCTCTCTCTGAACTTTGGTTTCCACCTGTTGCCAACTTGCAAATATATGGTCAGTTGACTTTCTTTATTCTTCTTCAATTTTTATTGAAATTTAGAAGAACGTTTATTAAAAACTTTTGAATGTTCCGATTTGTTAGAATCCAATAAGGTTTTTTAGTCAAAAAAAAAAAGATTGAGAAATTGATGAAGGTCATGGGATTAGAGATGACAAAATTACATTTTCCATATGTTCACTTTAAAAAATAATTTTTAAATTTTTATCTAATAAAATTTTAAACTCATGAATAGTACTCTCAAATAAATATTTTTTAACATTTACCGAACACCTTTAGTATATTTGAAAAGAGCCTTCTAAGAAAAAAAAATTTCAAATACTTGCACCAATGAGAATAGTTGAGTGAGAGCTTGGGTAAATTTTTTTCATTGTGATCTTCATATAATATTAAAATAGATCAATTAATCATCATTAACCATAAAATATGCATAACAACATAATCTTTTGTTTGGTTAGGAATTGATTCTGAGAAAGCAATTATAAGGAAACATCTCAATTAACTAATGGGACTAATCGTCATTGACTAACATTAAAAAAGAGCTTTTAAACCATGTCTTTTTCAAACCGCGTGAATATTATTAGTTGGAAAACAATTCAAATTAATTATTTATGATTATCAAGACTTTGACCAGTCAAAGATAAGCATGTCTATGTGTTTGGTCCATCTTGGAATCTTTACAAATAGACCAAAAGGGCTCACCTTTTACCCACACCCCAGACCACACAACCCAGTCCCCAAAAAATAATATAATAATGTTCTTCGATTCGCATACGACTAATACATACCCTAATTGATGCAATTGTGCAAAACTTCGTTTTTTTTTTCCAAGTCAAGTCAACAGAAAATGCCATGATGGGTTCAACTCTTTCTACCTAGCATCCGTGGAATAAGCGGGTAAGGTGTTGTTCAGTGAAGGCAGAAACACATATTTGGCTTATTATACACCTTTCACATTTGATTTTAGATGCCAAGAGCTTGAGTGGTCCTCATCTGAAACAGATAATGGGACCCAGAAGTAAAAAATGAAGAAAAGAAAAACATAAATTTCTTTATCCAACTTTAATGCCCCACTTGCATTTTTTTTCACTAACTTCCTTCCCAAACATTGTTTTTTGGGCACTAACGGAAATATCATGAATAAGTTCCACAAGTAACAGTGCGGTGCACAGTAAATCCAGCCATATCATGGCTATATGTTACAGAACGGAATCGAGGAATAAAATAAAAGATTTTTCTATTATGTATCTTAAGGGTATAGAATAAATGGTAATTATTATTTAATAATTGTCTTAAAAAATGTAAAATTTTAAATTAAAAAATAAGTTCTGATTTTAATTTTGAAATGCATTCTCAACATAGATAATGTTATCCAATTTGTCACCGTTCCCTTTCCTCATGATTTTGGGAATCAATTGAGTTACTTCTTTGGTCTCTGACATTGCTTCCCCATTGTTTATCTGCTCAAAACAAACAGCACCAACCCTTCAGGCATTTGCAGCTAATACCTGCACCAGGGACAACATTTCACTCACATTAATCAGTTATTCAATTGGATGCTCAAGATTTAACCTTATTAGCCTATATAGTTATCACATGTATAATTTATTTTCCAAAAAAAATATTTAAACTTGAATGTTACACAAAAATGGAGCACATGAATTATTATTATCAGTTGCTAAGTTTAATTTAGCAAACTGAGACACCAAATGAAGCATCTCATAGGATGAGCAATATAAAAGCAGATTCCTCCATGAACAAATGCATGCCCTCATAATAGCATTCATTTCAGAAAGTTACGCGTGGAAGAGACTGCATGATTGCTAGCTACATGCTTTTTCTTTCCTAGTTTTTTTTCACACTGAGTTTTTAGCTTTAAAGTTCAAACACTCCATTCGCTGCTCTATATACCATAACAATGAAAACCAGTAATAGGGTGGAATAATCTACCTCTGGCATTTTGATATTCAAGTCCTCAGATGGCAAATAAATAGATGTATTGGCATCAACATCATATACTCCCTCTGCTCTCATTACAATATTAGCCAATTTTCTTCTGGATCTCCTCCTATTAATAAAATTAGCAACAAATGCATCTAATAAGTATCACTTGAGAATCATTATATATATATATATATATATATAACA